GCTTCCTGTTTTGGGGCTGAGAATGAGACTTTTGTTGTTTTTGGTCCCAATCAGGAGCCACTTCTGGCATGACGGAAAAATGTGAGGGGCTGGGGGTTTCTTTTAAATGCTGATACGGTGATAAGGAAATAATTTACCAGCTAAAATACCGGTTTAAAATGTCTCATTTAAAAGTTAGGGACTTCTTGCTAACGAGGCTTGATTGATTCTACAAAGAGATCCAATCAGAGAGGAACAAAAGTTCAGCAATCTGCCAAAACCAGGGGAGAAACTCCAGCTAAAGCTCTTCTAAGAGTAAAAAACGAGAAGAATGGTGCACCATCTAGTTGTGAAATATCATGAAATCATTTTTTTTAAAATGGAGATCTACGCAACATAGTCCTGATCGTCAGGCTTCTGGCAGCTTTAGGTCCAAAAGACAAAAATCAGGAGGATTCTCCACGTTTTCTGGGGCTGATTTCGGCGGCCCGGTCGGCTTTGGTGGCAGTAAATCCAAGTCGGCCATTTTGATTAGGTCACCAATAGGAAGATCCCAGGCAAGAAAATCCCAATTGCTTCATGGCAATATAGACATTCATTTAAAAATAGTGAAATGAATCTTGCAAACACTGAATTAAACTCTATCCATAATATTATGTTAAAATAGTGGATGTTAAATAGGTTTGTACAATAAGTCCAAACAAGTTTAACCCAAAAATATTTATTTCTAACAATTATGAAGGGTTAGGGTTAGGGTCAGGGCTAGGGTTAGGGTTAGGGATAGGGTCAGGTTTAAGGTCAGGGTTAGGGTTAGGGTCAGAGTTAGGTTTAGGGTTAGGTTTAGGGTTAGGGTCAGGGTTTAGGGTCAGTTTCAGGTTTAGTGTCAGGGTTAGGGTTAGGTCATCGTTTATCTTCCGATTTCGTACATACAGTAAAGTTTCGTTTCCACCTCAGAAAGCTGCTGGTCACATGACCTAATCAAAATGGCCCCGGCTCTATTTCGGGCCCTCGGAAGCGATGACACGGGCATAAACTGAACTGGTGACACTCTTTGCAAAACAGAGTCTGGATCATGAGGCTGCGGCTGACTCTGAGCTGTCCAAACTCCACCGGTCAAAGCTCTTACTTTCCCAAAAACGCCTCCCCGGACTTCTTTCAATCCTCTCAGATTGAATCTTTCTGTCCTAAACACCTCGTAAAAGGGTCACTCTTGACTGGGGAATTAGATCCCTGACGATTTAAAGTCGCCAGATCAGACGCCAAGCCAAGATTTTAAGCTAAAAAACCAGACGCGTGTCTTTTTTTCCCCTAAAATGGTTCATATTTCTGGGGGTTTTCCGCCATTAACTCATTGGCTGCCAAAGACGTCTATAGAGGTCTTTTATGTTTTTCAACGAGAGTGTCTGGGGGACGATCTGCTAAAGCTTGTCCGTAAATATCGGCTTCTAGACAGAGTATGTAGTAACAAATTGACCCTCTAGGGGGCAGTGCCACTTTTGATGGGAGATGAGCATAGACTGTAGGCAAAC